TCTCCTACGTATCGGCCCCATTCAACCCACCTCACTCAGCAATCATCTCTCCAAAGTGGCTCCTGCTATGTCACATCCAGAAAGCAGCCCTGGCAGGGACCCGAGTCATTCCAAAGTGACTCCTGCCCTGGGGAGAGGGGAATATAACCACACGCACACCAGGTCAACTGCAGCCCCAGCAGACAAGCGATCTGACTGCTGGCCCTGCCCACCAACAAAAACTCTCAGGGGCAGCACAGGGAGAGAGCCTGCAATTGGGTATGACTTCAGCCCCAGCAAATGGGTTGAGGGTAGGCATCTGGTCTCACTGCTGACAATGCCCATCTACAAGCCCATGGTAGCTTCAGACTGGTCTCTTAACAGAACAAGGACCAAACCCTGTCCTCAACAGGCAAACTGGGCCATTATAGCCAACTGGACTGAAGGCAAACCCAGCTCAGCCACAACACTAGGGTGCATGCATACCACATAGGAAACACTCCTCAAGTGCCTGGTTCTGGTAAACAGGGGACATTGTGCTACAGGACACCATAGGACCTCTTTTTCATAAGGCCACTACTTCGAGATCAGGAGATATCGCTGATTTACCTAATGCATCAAAACAAACAGAGAGTAAGACAAAATGAAGAGAGAGAGGATCAGGTCCTCAGTGAAAGGACAGCAAAACAACAGCAAAAGTGCTAACTGAAAAAGATAAGCAATACGCCTGATAAAAAAAATCAGAGTAATAGTTGTAAAGATACTCACTGCACTTGGAAAGAGTGGAAGAAAGATCTCACTGGGAACACCAACAAAGAGATAGAAAATATAAAAGAGAACCCATCAGAGACAACGAACTCAGTAACTGAAATTAAAAATACGCTAGAGGATGGGGCGCCTGGGTGGCGCAGTCGGTTAAGCGTCCGACTTCAACCAGGTCACGATCTCGCGGTCCGTGAGTTCGAGCCCCGCATCGGGCTCTGGGCTGATGGCTCAGAGCCTGGAGCCTGTTTCTGATTCTGTGTCTCCCTCTCTCTCTCTGCCCCTCCCCCGTTCATGCTCTGTCTCTCTCTGTCCCAAAAATAAATAAAACGTTGAAAAAAAAAATTAAAAAAAAAAATACGCTAGAGGAAATCAACAGCAGATTAGAGGAAAAAGAACGGATCAATGACCTGGAAGAAGAGTAATGGGAAGCAACTAGCTGAACAGCAAAAAGAGAAAAAGAATAGTAAATAAAGTAAATAATAGTAAAGAAAAATAAAAATAGGCTAAGGAAATCCAACGACATACCTGCTGAATGGAAGGAGTTATTTGCAAATGATATAGCCAATAAGAAGTTAAGATCCAAAATATCTAAAGAACTAATACAAATCAACATCATAAAAACAATCTGATTTTAAAAAAATGAGCAGAGGACCTGAATAGACATTTTCACGCAGCAGATATACAGATGGCCAACAGATACTCGAACATATGCTAAATATCACTAATCATCAGGGAAATGCAAATTAAAACCACAATGAGATACCACTTTACACCTATCAGAATGGTTAGAACCAAAAAGAGAAGAAACAACAGGTGTTGGTGAGGATGTGGGGAAAAGGAAACCCTCATGCACTATTGGTGGGAATGCAAAATGGTGCAGCCACCATGGAAAACAGTAGGGAGGTTCTTCAAAAAACTTAAAACATACATACATACATACACACATACATACATACATACATACATACAAATAGAATTCCCATATGACCCAGTAATTCTACTACTGGGACATTTACCCAAAGAAAATGAAAGCATTCGTTTAAAAAGATACATGCATTATTGATGGCAGCATTTTTTATGATAGTCAAGATACAGAAGTGACCCAAGTGTCCATCAATAGACCAAAAGTATTAAAAAAAGGAAGAAAGAAAGAAAACCACACCAACGCAAATTATAATCAAACTGAAAACTGTGATAAAGAGAAAAATAATAAAAGTGGTAGCCAGAGAAAAAAGCCACGTTACAAACAAAGGAATAAAGATATTAATTACTACAAACTTCTTGCCAGAAATTATGGAAGCTTGGAGACAATAGAGTAATATGTTTTAAGTACTGAAGGGAATAGAGGAAAACCGTCAACTAGAATTCTATGCCCAGTGCAAAAATAAAGGTGAAATAAAGAGTCAGATGAGCAAAAACTGAAAGAAATTTCCCAACAGGCAGACACAGTACAAGAAATATAATTCTTCATGAAGTTCTTCAGGCAGAAGGAAACCAGATGGAACTTGGATCTACACAAAAGAATGAAGAATGCCAGGAATGGTGCTATATAGGTAACTATAAGGCATTTTTCTTACTTTTAATTTCCTTGAAAGATAATTGATCATTTAAAGCAAAACAGTGACGATAAATTATAGAAGTTCAACATATTATATAAAAGTAGAATCCATTAAAATGGTAGCATAAAGGATATAAGAAGGAAGCGGAAATACACTGTTGTTAGTTTCTTACACTATACTTGAAGTGCTATAATATTATTTGTAAGTAAACTTTGATATGTTAAGAATGCATATTGTATAACTCAGAGCCACAATTAAAAATGAAAGAGAAATATCTAACAAGCCAATAGTGGAGATAATCAATTAATCCAAAGAAAGTAGGAAAAGTAGGGGAAGAACAGTATAGAATAAAAAGAAAACAAATAGAAACATAGCACACTTAATTCCAACAATATCAATAATTATTTAAGTTTATTTTTGAGAGAGAGAGAGCATGGAGGAGGGGCAGAAAGAGAGGAAGAGAGAGAATCGCAAGTAGGCTCCCCACTGTCAGCACAGAACCTGACATGGGGCTAGATTTCACCAACCAAGAGATCATGACCTGAGCTGAAATCAAGAGTCAGAGGTCTAACCAACTGAGACACCCAGGTGTGCCACAATAATTATATTACACAATCTAAACTACTATCAAAAGGCAGTTACTGCTTGACTAGATTTTTAAAATTTTTTTAAATTTTTTGAAAAGTGTAACTTAATTATATTCAGTCTATAAGACATTCAGATTAAATATAAAGACACAAGTAGATTAGAAATAAAAGAATGGGAAAATACAAACCATCCAAATACCACCCCCCTCCAAAAAAAAAGCTGGCAAGCTGAAGTGACTATATTAATATCATAAAAATAGATCTCAGAACAATAAATACACCAGGAATAAAAAGGGACATTTCACAATGATAGAGGGGGTCACTTCATCAGGAAGAGATAACAATTCTAAATACATAAGCACCTAAAAATCAAAGCTTAAAAAAACCATAAAGCAAAACTGACAGAGTTGAAACGAGAAATAGACAAACCCACAATTACATTAGGAGATGCCTTCACTCTTCTTCCAGTAATTGTTAGAACAAGTAAACAGAAAATCAATAGATACAAGAGACTTGAACAATACATGAAATAGGATGCTCACTAGGACTGTTGTCCCAGAATTGACACTAGGGTCTATATCTCAAAACAGCGGGCTCTAAGTATGCAATATTCTAAAGAAGTCTGCCAAATACTGGAGCCAGCACTGCCTTATTAGAAGACGGCCAAATTAGCCCTACTCCTCCCTCCCATTATTCTAACTAACATCCACCTATCTCATCACCAGCCCATATGAGAAAACAACTGCCAAGGGGAAAAATGAAAGCTGTACGTCTCTGGTCTTGGGAGGAGTCTGAGGTTCACATTTAAGAGGTTTCCCCTAGAACAAAGCCCAATTTGGGGAAGGGGCCCCAGGAAAATCCCTTACAGAGCCTGAGAAAGAAAGACTACCATCTCTCCTCTGCCTGGATGCTTGCTGAGCTGTAGAACGGCGGACCCACAATGAGGCAGCCACCAGAATGGAGAATAATGAGAGAATTATTGAGAGAGCTTGATCAGTAGCCCTGGGAGTTGTGTGGCCCTTGTGAGTTTGATAAAGGCACTTTCTTCTCCTCTGGAAATTTCTGGAGGCAAAAAGCTTTGGAGTAACTAAAGGCAGAGGAAGAAGAAGAAACTGATAGTGGTCAAGATGAGGATTCTTAGCATTATCTCTCAGTTCCTGAGGCAACTGAGAGTCGGAAGAGAGAAACTCAATCCCCATGGCCCCACAGGCAAGGAAGGAGCCTAGGGGATAGAGGAGACAGGGATATGGATGCCAAGGTGATGACCAGCAGCCATGTGCCAAGAAAGTCCACTCTCAAGTCAGGGTCATGAGATCTCTGCCTCTCTCCCTCTTCCAATCCCAACACCACAGGAACTGGGCTTTGAGAATGGGTAGGAGTTGAGAGGCTGATTCTAAAATCAGACCTCCAAATAAGCCTTCCTTCTAAGCTGGCTGCAGTGAGGAGACTGAAATACCAGCCCACATCCTCACCCTCTTAAGCGAGGCCCCTGGGCTCTGCTGAGGCTGGGTGGGAGAAGAGGATGTCGATTTCAGATTGAGATCAGATCTAAGCCTGGAGTTTGAATAGCTGAAAGTCCCTGGAGACCCATGGGGTTGGCCAAAAATGTTGCTAACGCCCCCCAAGGGGGGGCGCCACTCGACAGAGCACAGAGATTGGAAAAACATTAAACTATTTCATGTTAATATCCCACTGAGTTCCTAGTGCTGAACAAAATCAGACTGAGCATCTCTGTGTATCCAAACAGTGCACACATTTGTCAACTTAAATGGCTTTTCATCATATTGGTATGTATTACATTATATTTATAGGCCATGATGTGCTTAATAATGTACCCATTATTGAACATTTGGGTTATTTCCATTTTTTTCCTCTTAGGAAAGAGGTTGCTATAAACATCTTGGTATAAATTGCTCTATTTTTCTTCTTAGCTCTTTCCTTAGGTATATGCCTCAGGACTTCCTTCCTATGCAATGCCCAGACTCACTTCTTCCCCCTGTTACTCCATGTGACACCCCGTCAGTACACCAAATGTGTATGAGTTGACTTCCCTTCTGTTGTAGGTGACAGCCTGCGATTCAGACTGGCTCGTACATGAAAGAGAACTTACTGGCTGACACAACTGAAAGTCCGAGGAGAGAGCTGGCTGCAGGTCCTTCAATCCAGAGGCTCAGAGGACACCATCCATTTCTCTAATTGTTTTTGCCCTGCCTTTCTCTAGAAGTCGATTTCATCCTCCGTCTGGACATGCCCCCGGGAATCGCGATGGTGGCGGCAGCTGGAAACCTCACACCTTCATAATACAGGAGAAAGAAACATAGTATTTTCAGAAAGCCCGGCAAACATCTTTATTCATCTCATTGGCTCCACACGAGTTATGTGCCATCTCCGAACCAATCACAGAGGCCAGAAGGGTAAAATACAAGGATAGACTTATATTTGTAGGTATGGATGGGTGAGTGGTCAATTCATTCACATGGTAGAAATGAGGAAAGATGTTTCCTAAGGACGATTTGGACTACTGTTATCAGAAAATGGAAATACGGGGGCGCCGGGGTGGCTCAGTTGGTTGAGCGTCCAACTTCCACTCAGGTCATGATCTCACGGCTGGTGAGTTCGAGCCCCGCGTTGGGCTCTGTGCTGATGGCTCACAGCCTGGAGTCTGCTTCAGATTCTGTGTCCCTCTCTCACTGTGCCCCTCCCTCACTCATGCTCTCTCTTTCTCTCAAGAATCAACAAAACATTTTTTAAAAATTAAAAAAAGAAAAAAGAAAATGGAAATATGGACGCTCGGTACCAAATAATATATGTCCCTTACACCCAGGACTGTGTCTGTTTTTCCCTCTAAGACTGTAAGCTCTGAGGGCAAGGATGATGTGGACATCAATCGCCACTGTGTTCACCACACCCAGAACCTCCATTTATCAAAGGTAAATGCTTAGTGACTATTCATTGAATGAGTAAATTCACCAAAGTAGAATAACCAGGTTGAGGAAATAAAAGATCTTATTGCACGTTGCCACATTCTTCTCCAGAAATTAAAAAAAAAAAAGTGTCGATGTATAATAAAATTGTAATAAAACAATAGTATAATGGTAATGTATATTAGGATAGCTATTTCCCCAAAATATTGCCAACATTGAGTAATATCATTTTGATTCATTTCTAGTAATACAGTAAGTCTTCAGCAGATTTTTAAGCTGCTATATTTTAGATGTATTTAGTCGTTAACACAGTTGATCATTTGCCCAGCACTAAAATATTATATATAAATTTGGTCTGTAAGCTTTCAAAAGACATTCAGTGAGGTTTTATAAATCCCTTTTCCCACGTTCCATCTTCCAGTATATTTTCACAGTGATTGATCGATGAAGATGTTTTAAGTTGCTGTAACATACACATAATATACAATTTACCGTCTTAACTATTTTTAAGTGTAAAGTCCGTAGTGTTAAGTACCTCCACCTTGTTATGAAGCCAACCTCCAGAACTCTTCTCAACTTGCAAAACTAAAATTTTATACCTATGAAACTACTCTCTATTCCCCTGCCCACCCAGGGGCTGTTTCTACCTTTTGGCTATTGTAAATAACGCTGCTACGAATGTGAGCGTACAAACATCTCTACAAGACTCTGTTTTCCATCGTGACTACACCGTTCCACATTCACATCCCACCAACAGCGCATAAGGATTCCAATTTCTCCTGATCCTTGCCTACGCTTGTTGTTTTCTGGTTGTTGTGGTGGTGGTGGTGGTTGTGGTTTTATTTTACCATAGCCATCCTAATGGGTGTGATCCAAGTAGTTGATATCCCATAAAGATGTGGAACACAAGGTGGGTAGCAATGTGTTAAAGGTGGTAAGAGGGAATTTCTGCCAAGAAAGCAGACAATGATGGTCTCTCCTCGGCAGCCAGGTTGGGCCCTCTCCCACATTTACATGCGAATTCTTTTTTTTTAAAAAAAAGAACCATTCCCGTTCTTGTTCTCAGGAACTAGAAAACCCTGGAGAAGTATGGGTTGTGTCCTGTTGGAATTACATTCCTGATGTCATTGCCGGGAAGCCAGACATTTTCTGGAGATCAGAAAGAGAGTAAGCGAGAGTAGCGAGAGTAGCGAGAGTAGCGAAGGGAGCATAATGGGAAAGAGAAACGTAACATAACGTAAGCGAGAGTAGCGAAGAGAGCACAATGGGAAAGAGAAAACAAACAAGAGGGTAAATGATAGGAAATATCACACATTTCAAGGGACTGTTCCTATTTTATACAAAAAGATGAGGAAAGGATCCTCTGTGACAGTAACGTCTGAACATAGATCTGAAGGAAGAGAGAGAATGAGAGGCGGTGCGCCGTGCAGATATCTGGGGGAAGAAATCCAGGCAAAAGAAAGAGACTGTGCAAAAGGCCTGGGGCAGAAAGCAGCTTAAGCATGTTGGAGGGATAGTAAGGAGCCCAGTGTGGCTTAGAGGGATGGGCGAGGAGAACGTGATGGGAATGGTGCTGGTGAGTAGGAGGGTGCCAAGCCATGCTAGGGACTTTGGCTCTGCTTCTGAGTGAGCTGGCAAGACATTAGGGAGTTGGAATGGAGAAGAGGTGTGACCTGATATAGGTTTTTTAAATATCATTTAGTCCAAATATCATTTGGGCCAGAAGAGAAGACTGTCCAGGGCTGGATTAGAAGCAGAAAAAAACCGTTGGGAGGTGACTGCCATCATCCAGGACAGATGGTAGCTGGGACAAGGGCGGAAGTGATGGCTGCGGAAGGAAGCTGTCAGAGCTCAGACGTGTCTTGAAGGCTGAGCTGTCAACACTGGGTGATGGCTTAGATGTGCGGTAGGAAGGAGGGGGGTTCAAGGAAGAGTCTGGACTTCTGTCTGAGCAACTGGTAGGACTGGGTCACCATTTACTGAGAAGATGAGAGGAGGAGCAGGCCTGGTAAGAGAAACCGGGAGTTGACTGGATGTATGGCGGTTGGATAGGCAATTGGGCGCAAAAGCAGGCAGCCCAGGGGGAAGGTCAGGGCTGGAAAAGCAGCCCAAGACGCAGCCCCAGCCACCTGGGACTGTGAACTGTTGCCAGCAACCTGCATGAGAAACGCTGGAGGCTAGAGCACGACTCACATCCTTTGCATTTATGTGTTATGAGGTATCCAACTTATTTGCAGAAGTTCAAAACTCAGAATTTGGTAACAATTATATATACATGTTCTATATAAGGGAACAAAATATTTTCGAGGAATAGCCTCCAGTAAAGACTAGATTCTCCATGTGATCCACACCTTGCCTGCCTCTCCATCTTCTTCTCTGGGCACGCCATTCATATTGTCTTCCTGCTGGCTCCTCAGATTCTCCACGTTTATTCTCACCACAGGGCCTTTGCACATGCTGCACTCACCACCCAGAGCCTCACTGGCCAGGAAACTCCTCCTGCTCATCCTTCAGATCTCAGTTCCTCCTCCGTCTCTTCCTTAAGAAGCCTCACCCACACCTTTAGCTTATGCCGAGTCCCTGCACTCTAGGCCATCTCAGAAGTGCCATCCCTCTTTCCAATGGTAGCTTAATAGTCGTTCATTAATTACTCGATTAATATCCCTCTCCCTCATTAGAATGTAAGCATGGTGTAGGATTTTATTCACAACAGTTTCTCTAGGAAATTGCCTCTCTCTGGCACACTCAATTATTGTTGAATCAATGAATAAAAAGGAAGAGAGTCAGACAATAAGATTGTTCCCTTAATGGTTTGAGAAATACAAAGAACAAATGTGGTTGCTAAGGTCTAAGTCCTTTACTTTAATACTAACAGTCCCTGAAAAACAACACTGAAGTAAAAATATGAAAACTGCTAATGCCTTTACACGTTATGAGAGGCTTATATTTCCAAGGAGATAAGAAATTGTAAAGTAGCTCGTTACACCAGGCCTTTTTGACTTGATATTTGATGACATTTTCAGCATTCTGCACAGACTTCTAAATTTTGTCCTTTTTCGTTCACAGTTGAATACATCCTCAACTAGCTTAACTCTAAAGAACATCCAACTGAGACTTAAGTTTCCCCTGTCAGCATATCTAGTGATTTGGTTCATCGTTACAGTCAAATTAAGTTTGTTAGGTCTATACTCCTCTCTGTATCTAATAGTCTGTTTCAACCAACTGGTGGTTGCTAAAGGCAGCTGGGGGGGGGGGGGGGAGGGGGCAATACAGCGAAGGGGATCAAGAGGTACAAACTTCCGGTTATAAAATACATAAGTCTTGGAAATGAAAAGTACAGCCTATGGGGAGGGCCAGAGAGAGAGGGAAACACAGAATCGGAAGCAGGCTCCAGGCTCTGAGCTGTCAGCACAGAGCCCGATGCGGGGCTGGAACCCACAGACTGTGAGATCGTGACCTGAGCCGAAGTCGGACGCTTAACCGACGAGCCACCCAGGCGCCCCTGTCCTCTGTGTTTATAGGCATGACTCTGATTTAAAAACCAACAAACAAGCACTAATTGTTAAGAACAAAAGAATTAAATATATACATAAATTGGATAAAAATCTCATAAATAATAAAAAATATATATATACTAATAATCCGGCGGTGGAGAAAGTATACAAAAATAAATGTGAAACAAAGACCACACGAAAGTGCTAAGCGGTCCTTCGGGGAAAGGGATTCTAAGCTGACTGATCATAAAAAGCCACTTAAGTGGAATTTAAACGAGGTGGTGGAAAAAAGTGGAAAAAAAGTGGACACGGTAATAGCAGGAAGAGATCAACCCAGGAGTGACATCTTGGAAGAGAGCATAGGAAGCTCCAGAAATCCCTCTTTGCACCCATACAACTATTAAACTGGCTGCAACTGTCTGAAGTTAACTATTTTGGAACTCTGTATCCAGTTGAACACTCTGAGCATTTGTAGCAAGACCTTGATGAAGAGGCTGGTAAATTTCAGTGACTTTCAGCCTGTTTGCCTGGCAGAGACTGTCAGCCACAGTGGCAAGCCTCTGGGGGGATGGCTAGCCTAGGTTTCTTAGGTGGCTTGTTGGAGCTAAGGGTGACCAACAGCACCAAGTCCTCCAAATATCAAGACTGTGTGTTCCGATTGCTGATTGCTTCTTTTGAGAACTGAGGGGCTGGCAGCCATCGTTTTAATCCTCATGGGCTGGAGTGGCTTCCAGGGAATTTAAAGAGACTCCTCAGTTGACACAGAAAAAGCATGTCAGCACGCTTTTGTGATAAAATAACTGTCAGCAAACTAGTAAAAGAAGGAAACGTTCTCAACATAATAAAGTCCACATATGAAAAACTCGCACCTAACATCACATTTGATGATAAAAGACCGAAAGTTTCTCCCCTCAGATCCAGAACAAGACAAGGATGCCCGCTTCACAACTACTATTCAGCGTATTACTGAAAGTTCTAGCCAGAGCCAATAGGCAAGAACAAGAAATGCCAAGCAGCTAAATTGGAAAGGAAGAAGTAAAATTACTTCTGTCCACAGATGACATGATCTAATAGGTAGAAAACCCTGAAGACTCCACCAGAAAGAAAGGGAGAAAAAGAGACAGAGACAGAGAGAGAGAGGAAGGAAGGAAGGAAGGAAGGAAGGAAGGAAGGAAGGAAGGAAAAGAAATTGTTAGAGCCAATAAATGAATTCAGAAAACTTTCAGCATACAAAATCAATGTTCGAAAATTAACTGCATTTCTATATCTAGTAATGAACAACTCAAAAAGGAAGCCAAGAAACTATTCCATTTATAATGCCATCAAAGAGAATTAAATACTTAGGAATAAATTTAACCAAGAAGGCAAAAGACTTGCACACTGAAAACCATTGCCAAAATACATTTTTAAACACTTAAATAAGAGGAAAGGTACACCATGGTCATAGATTAGAAGACTTGAAACTCACAATACTCGTAATCTATAGATTCAATGTAATCCCTATCAAAATTCCAATGGTGTTTTTTGCAGAATTAGAAAAACCCATCCCCAAATTCATATGTAATCTCAAATAACACTGAATAGCCAAGTCAATCTTTATTTTTTTAATTTTTTAAATGTTTATTTATTTATTTATTTATTTAATTTTTAATATGAAATTTATTGTCAATTGGTTTCCATACAACACCCAGTGCTCATCCCAACAGGTGCCCTCCTCAATGCCCATCACCCACCCACCCCTCCCTCCCACCCCCCATAAACCCTCAGTTTGTTCTCAGTTTTTAGGAGTCTCTTATGTTTTGTCTCCCTCCCTCTCTAACCATTTTTTTTCCTTCCCCTCCGCCATGGTCTTCCGCTAAATTTCTCAGGATCCACAAGTCAATCTTTAAAGAGAAGAATGAACTTAGAGGACTTCCACGTCTCGATTTCACAACTAAGTACAAAACAGCGCTAATCAAAATAGAATGGCACTGGCATAAGGGTAGATATAGAGACCAACTGAGTAGAATAAAGAGCCCAGAAATAAACTCTCATATATACGGCCAATTGCCAACAAGATTGCCAAGACACCTACTGGATATTTAACTCAAAGGAAATGAAAACACAACTTGAAAAGATATATGTCCCCTGTGTTTGTTGCAGCATTATTTACAATAGCCAGGATAGGGAAGTCAACGCAGTGTCCAGCAATAGGGATAAAGAAGGGATAAAGAAGACGTGGTTATATATACACAAAGGAATATTACTCAGCCATCAAAGGGAGTGAGATCTTGCCATCTGCAACCACACGGATGGACCTAGACGGTATTCTGCCAAGTGAATTCAGAGAAAAACAAATACCATAGGATTTCACTTATATGTGCAATCTAAAAGCCAAAACAAATGAACAAACAAAGAAAGCAGAAACAGGCTCCCAAATACAGGGAACAGACTGGTGGTTGCCAGAGGGGAGAGGCCCAGAGGGGTGGGCAAAATGAGTGAAGGGGAGTATGAGGTCCAGGCTTCCAGTTTAGGAATGAATAAGTCACGGGGATGAAATATATAACAGAGGGATAGAATCAATGGTGTTGTGGTAGTGATGAATGATGATAGATGTCCTACACTTACAGTGAGCACAGCATACAGAGCTGTTGAATCACGATGTTGTACCTGGAACGAATGTAACACTGCGCAAACTATACTTCAATGTAAAAATTTTAAAAAGTAAATTTTTTTTAATAAAAAGTTGTTTTAAAAAAAAGATTGCCAAGGCTATTCAACGGGGAAAAGACAGCCTTTCCAGAAAGAGGTGCTGGGAAAACAGGATATCCACATGCGAAAACAACGTAGTTGGACCCAAACCTCATACTATAAAAAGTTACTATACAAAAACTAACTCAAAATGAATCGAAGACCTAGCCTTAAAAGCCAAAATCATGGAAGAAAAGCTTTGCGACACGGGATTCAGTAATTTCGTGGAAATGACACCGAAAGTCCGGGCAACAAAAGAAAAAAATTGATAAATTGGACTTCATCAAAATTTTAAAGAAATGTTTTAAGTGTTCATTTAGTTTTGAGAGAGAGAGAGAGAGAGAGAGAAAGAGACATAGTGTGAACAGAAGAGGAGCAGAGAAAGAGGGAGACAGAGAATCCAAAGTAGGCTCCAGGCTCTGAGCTATCAGCACAGAGCCCGATGCGGGGCTTAAATCCATCAACTGTGGGATCATGACCTGAGCTGAAGGCAGATGCTTAACCAGCCAAACCACCCATGCATCCCAGACTTCATCAGAGTTTCTTTTTTTTTTTTTTTAATTTTTTTTAATGTTTATTTATTTTTGAGACAGAGAGAGACAGAGCATGAATGGGGGAGGGGCAGAGAGAGAGGGAGACACAGAATCGGAAGCAGGCTCCAGGCTCTGAGCCATCAGCCCAGAGCCTGATGCGGGGCTCGAACTCACGAACCACGAGATCGTGACCTGAGCCGAAGTCGGACGCTCAACCGACTGAGCCACCCAGGTGCCCCTTCATCAGAGTTTCAAACTGTGAATCAAAGGATGCTGTCAACAGAGTGACAGGACAATGCACAAAATGGAAGAGAAGATTCCAAATCACGTATCTGAGAAGTGGTTAATATAGGAAAGATCTCGTAAAACTCAACTTCGGCAACAAAAACCCATTTCGAAACGGGCAGAGGGATTTGGAAAAAACATTTCTCCAAAAAAGACATACAGTAACACATAAAAAAGATGTCGACATCCTTAGTCATTCGAGAAATGCAAATCTAAACCATGATAAGACGCCATTTCACACCCATTAGGATGGCTCTTGTAGAAAATCAGAAAATAACAAGTCTTGGTGAGGATGTGAAAAAACCGGAACTCTCATGCACTGCTGGTAGGAATGTAAAATGAGACGCGGCCACTGTGGAACACAGTTCGATGGTTCCTCAAAAAGTTAAACCTAGAGGTACCATAGGATCAAACAATTCTACTCCCAGGGATATATATGCCCAAAAATAGACACGAGTACACCAATCTTTATAGCAGCATGATTTACAATAGCCAAAAGGTAGAAATAACCCAAATGTCCATCAACAGATGAATGGATACAGAAAATGTGGCTTACCCATACCATGGAATTAACTAGACACAAAATAAAGAAAAATCCTGATACCTGCTACAACATGGGTAAGCCCTGAAAACACTATGCTGGATAAAATTAGCCGGGCACGAAAGGGTAAATACAGTATGATTCCACTTATAGGAGGTACACAGAATAGGCAAGTCCGGAATGGCACAGAGGAGAATGGAAGTAACCTGGGGTCGCCAGGGATAGAGAGTTATTGTTTAATGGATAGTTTCTCTTTGGGATGATGAAAATTTCTGCAGATGGGTCACGATGATGGTGGCAAAAACATTGCCATTGAATTGTTCACTTAAAGTAAACTAGGGTTGCCTGGGTGGCTCGGTCAGTTAAGCTTCTGACTTTGGCTCAGGTCATCAACTCACGGTTTGTGAGTTCGAGCCCCACACTGGGGTCTGTGCAGACAGCTCTGAGTCTGGAGCCTGCTTCGGTTCTGTGTCTCCCTCTCTCTCTGCTCCTCCCCCACTCGTGCTCTCTTTCTCAAAAATAAATGAATATTTTTTAAAAACGGTTCAACTAGTAAATTTTATGGTTTGGTATTTTACCACCATAGGTGAAATAAAATAAAAAAAATAAAATGGAATAGAATAGAATAGAATAAAATAAAATAAAATAAAATAAAATAGATAAAATAAAATAAAATAAGATAAAATAAAATAAAATAAAATAGATAAAATAAAATAGAATAGAATAGAATAGAATAGAATAGAATAGATAAAATAAAATAAAATAGAATAGAATAGAATAAAATAAAATAAAATAAAATAGATAAAATAAAATAAAATAGATAAAATAAAATAGATAAAATAAAATAAAATAAAATAGAATAGAATAGATAAAATAAAATAGAATAGAATAAAATAGAATAGAATAGAATAGAATAAAATAAAATAAAATAAAATAAAATAGATAAAATAAAATAAAATAAAATAGATAAAATAAAATAAAATAAGATAAAATAAAATAAAATAAAATCGATAAAATAAAATAAAATAGAATAGAATAGATAAAATAAAATAAAATAGAATAGAATAGAATAAAATAAAATAAAATAAAATAAAATAAAATAAAATAGATAAAATAAAATAAAATAGATAAAATAAAATAGATAAAATAAAATAGATAAAATAAAATAAAATAAAATAGAATAGATAAAATAAAATAGAATAGAATAAAATAGAACAGAATAGAATAGAATATAATAGAATAAAATAAAATAAAATAAAATAAAATAAAATAAAATAGATAAAATAAAATAAAATAAAATAATAGGGGATCAACCCAGGCAGAAGACTGAAGGATGATACTCCTTGCCAGCACCGTGAAGAACACGTATGTCTGGATGCCCCCTTGAATTTCAGAAGCAGTGCCCTGCTTGGTGGAGGGAGGAGAGCCGCAGCGGCCTGTGGAGGTAGCCTGCCGCCTGGAAGTTACAGCCACGAAGAGATATCTGAGCCTGTCTAGAGCATCAGGGCCACAGCAGGGAATCAGGCACAACACCAAACTGTAGGCTCTAGGAGGACAGACATCCTCTCTGCCTGTCATCATTTTATCACTAGCCCCTGACGCCTAATAGACATTCAATAGGTATTTGTTGAATGAATGGGTGGATGAATCCATCAACTATACAGTGACATTGCTTTCAAACTACATCATAATGTATGATATCAGAATGTATCTGCAGGTATCAGAATCCCTGGAGGGCTTGTCAAAACACAGATTGCTGGGCCCAGAGCTTCTGATCCCATAGAATGGGGATGGGGCCTGAGAATTCACATTTTTTACCAGTTCCCAGGTTATGCTGATGCTGCTGTTCTGGGACCACACGCTGAGAACCACTGATTTAGAAGAAACAATTACCATAATTGAAAGCCCAGATCCCTGCTCACATTTCTATGTAAATGTGTTAACTCTTAGCTTATTTTTAAAAACCTAGGGGCGCCTGGGTGGCCCAGGTGGTTACGCATCTGACTCTTGGCTTTGGCTCAGATCATGATCTCACAGTTAGTGGGTTCAAGCCCTGCATCAGGCTCTGTGCTGACGGCATGGAGCCTGCTTGGGATTCTGTCTTCCTCTCTCTCTGCGCCTCCTCTGCTTGCTCTCCCTCTCTCTCCCTCTCAAAAACAAATAAATAAACATTAAAAAAAATTTTTTTAAAGCCTAGGCTGAGAAGCCCAAAACACGATTGAGATTGAATTTCTTGCTACCCTGGGTAGGGCTTGCTGAAAGTCAAATTTAATTAGATTTGAGAAAAAGAAGGGGCACCTGGGTCGCTCATGATCTCGCCATTCCTGAGTTTGAGCCTCACGTCAGGCTCTGTGCTGACAGCTCAGAGCCTAGAGCCTATTTCAGATTCTGTGTCTCCCTGTCCCTCTGCCCCTCCCCTGCTCGCGCTCTGTCTCTCTCTCTCTCTCTAAAATAAATATTAAAAGAAAAAGAAATATGGCTTTTCTTGTGTGTGATTGCTAAAATTTTACTCAGTAGGGTGCCTGGGTGGGTCAGTCTGTTAAGCGTCCGACCTTGGCTCAGATCATGATCTCACGGTCTGTGGGCTCGAGCCCCACGTAAGGCTCTGTGCTAATAGCTCAGAGCCTAGAGCCTGCTTCAGATTCTGTGTCTCCCCTTCTCTCTCTGCCCCTCCCCACTTGTGCTCTGTCTCTGTCTCTCAAAAATAAAATAAACATTAAACAAATTTTTTAATTTTACTCAATAAAACAGGTGAAGAAACCAGTTCATGACGCAAGCTAATCCTCAGTGAGACCTGTATAGGCAAATAGAGAAGCGGATTGAATTTTTGAACATGCTGCTCACTAGCTGTGTGACTTCGGTGAAATATCCGACCTCTCTGGATTTCAAATACTGAACCTATCAAGCAGAGATGATTGTAGCAAACTCATGGGCTTATCATAAAGATCACATGAGACAGAGTAAGTTAAATATAGGAGAAACTCTCTTACCCAATTTCTCCTTAAACAACTTGCTGGTTTAACCATCTTTCCTCCTGATCCAAGCCCGTTGGTCAAGGTCAGCAGCAGGCTCACAGCCACCTGCCCTTCCTGTCCTTCCCTGCACTTCTGTTCCCACCATCGGAGTGAAAGACATTCCAAAGTCAGGTGCATCGACTCTCAAACCTTCATACTCTATGTAACTCAACTAAAAATACTTAAATCCTTGAAATATGCATGCAAAAAGAACAAAATAACTTGAATGCTTTGGAAAGTCTCCATAAAGGCAAGTTGTTAAAATAAATTACTATCAGATTACGTGCAAATGAGACATCTTGTAGAAGAGTAGGCAGGAATAGTAAAAGTCTAGAAAGATTGTGTTCGACTGCTCCCAACATACTTTTCAGTCTTTGCTCCACTTTAAAGAATCCTAACCTGGAAACCTTAGGTAACAGATCGCAGATGTGGTTTATGGAAGAATAATGATCTGGAATGCAGTCAAGTACCATCCTCAAAGAAGGGATCTCGGCCATAAATCAAAAGGTTGGCAAAGAAATGTACAGAGTTATGCTTTAAGTTAAAGTAGAAGTTTAAGGTTGAGTACAACACGTTGTATGATTCCCCGCTTCCACTGACTTTTTAACAGACCAAAATACCCGTCCTAGTCACATCGGATTAGCAGTGCTCAGGGCGCTTGGCACTCATTAAATGTTCCTTCTCCCGCCACCACCTTGAAAGGTTTCACTGGTTTCACACCCAAATGCCATTCCTGTTTTTTAACATTTCATCAGTAGATACACACTACCGAAGTGCTTCATGTTGCACCAAACTAGCTATTTGCAGAGAACGTTTGCGGCCCAGGACATTTCTGTTTTACACGTTCCAGAAGCCTTACCCCAGCACTCAGCAGAATCCGGGGAAGGTGAGGGGCAGAGAGCGCTCATGAATAGTCATGCAACTTTTCAGAAAAATAACAACACCTCGCCTTTCCAGGGCACTCTAATGAGGATGAGCCCTTCGGAGATGTAGGTTAATCTCCCGGCACCCCTCCGAGCTGGGTCAGTGTTATTCCTGCCACTTAGAACGTCAGGGGGTAGAATGCTGGCAGGTTAATTGACTTGCTAAGTCAGCACTACAGGTTAACAGGAGGGATGGAGTGGGACCTCGGGCTGCACAGGTTGTCAGCTGTCTGCCCTTGGCCTCTGGGTTTTTGGTTTGGTTCCTTTCCCAAAAGCTTACATGTGGTTTTCTGACCTCAGTAACACCTTTATGTAAAATGTGTGTGTGTGTGTGTGCGTGTGTGCGTGCGCGCGAGCGCGCGCGTATGTGCGTCTGCATATATGTATGTGTGTCTCCTCCTTCAGAAGCAAGCCTGGAAAGGAAACAGCGTGGGCTATGTTTCTTCCTGCTTCATTTTCTGCAGTCCCTCGGCTGACCTGACCGGAAGGAGCTCAGCCCTCCCCCAGCCTTTCTGCATTCACTGATAACTTGCTTCTGAGAGAAAGAAGCAGAAGCCAGGGCCACTGCGAGCACCTTCCCAGGCCACCCGCAGCAATGAGAAAAGCCTGGAGAAACAGCCTAATCCAGGCGAAGGACTACAGCCTACAGACAAACTCCCCAGAAGGCCCCGGCTATCTTGCCCTCGGCAATCCCCGGAGAACAGTCAGGCCCACTTATACTTTTTTTTTTTAAATATAATTTATCGTCAAATTGGCTTCCATACAACACCCAGTGCTCATCCCAACAAGTGCCCTCCTCCATGCCCATCACCCACTTTCCCCTCTCCCCCCTCCTCCCCGCCATCAACCCTCAGTGTTTTCTCTGTATTTGAGAGTCTCTTATGGTTTGCCTCCCTCTCTCTCTGTAACTTTTTTTTCCTCCTTCCCTTCCCCCGTGGTCTTCTGTTGAGTTTCTTAAGATCCACATATGAGTGAAAACATATGGCATCTGTCTTTCTCTGCCTGACTTATTTCACTTAGCATAACACCCTCCAGTTCCATCCACGTTGCTACAAATGGCCGGATTTCATTCTTTCTCATTGTCAAGTAGTATTCCATTGTGTATATAAACCTATACTTCAAACATCCTATTGTGTGAACATAGGATTCCTGGGTGCCTATCAACGTCCCTACCCACTCTTCCCAGGCCACCGTTCTGACAGCTTAGAGAGGCTGGTTGTAACCTGTGACAGTGGCATGTAAGTTATTGGCATGGTATAAGGGCTTTTTTTGCAGGAAGTTATGCAAACATCAGCTCAGCCTGAGGAGTAACAGGTTGGTCACAGACAGGGTATAATCAGGGAAGACTGATAAGATCCTACTGTGTCTTCCAGGGCCAATCCTGTGAGCCTCCGGGAACAACATTCATTCACCTACAAACGTCTATCGAGCAACTACGGTACCCTGGGCACCAGTGTATCTTCTGCCACTCAGGAAGAAACCCTACTCGCCGGAAGAAGTAGGAAAGAAGGGGACAGGAATAGACTAATAAAAAAGTGAGGAGGGGTGCCTGGGTGGCTCAGTTGGTTGAGCGTCCAACTCTCAGTTTCAGCTCAGCTCATGATCTCACGGCTCATGAGTTCAAGCCCCGCAAGGGACTCCATGGTGACCACACAGGGTCTGCTTGGGATTCTCCCTCTCCCTCTCTCTCAAAACAAATAAATAAACTTAAAAAAAAAAAAAAGGAAGAAAAAAATTAAAAACAAAATGAGGAGGAGATTGAAGGTGACACATGACCTCAGTAGTCTCTGTGGCTGCCTAGCACCGACCGGCCATCACTCAGGCTGGGAAGTCACTGGGTGCCATCCCGGGGCTCTACCCACTGTCCAGTGCAACCTCTCCCCTGCTCCCGGGTTTCCTGCTTCCAAACTTTAGAGGTCCTCCAAGGGTGATAGCCTTGCCCCACAAGGACGGCAGGGCTCTGTGTCATACAGAACCAGCAGGAACTTAACAAAATCCCTCATTTTAGTATAGGTCGAGTGGGAAATTGGGAAGCAACTTCAACTACTTTGTTTCTCAGTGAAGTCGGATTTTCTAGGCCACACATGGGCCCAGAAACCCATCAGGTGATCATTCTCCACTTGTAGCTTGAGATGGATTTCAAGGAAGTCATATCACTATCAGCAAAAAGACCAGAGGGAAGGGAGCCCTTGTGCACTGTCGGTGGGAATGCAAACCAGAGCAGCTACTGCGGAGGTGCCTCAAAAAATTACAAATAGAACTACCATATGATCCAGGAATTCCTCTTCTGGGTATTTATCCAAAGGAAACGAAACGACCACCTTGAAGAGATAGCTACGCCCCCGTGCACTACAGCGCTATTCGTAACAGCTAAGACCTGCAAACAACCTAAGTGGATGAAGAAAATGTGATTATATATTATGATTATATATATATGATTTTTTTTATAAAAACATGGTTTTGTATATGTATAGACACATATATATGTATACACGTAGGTAGGCACACACACAACCATCATAAAGAATGCAATTCTTGGGGCGCCTGGGTGGCTCAGTCGGTTAAGCATCCGACTTCAGCTCAGGTCACGATCTCACGGTCCGTGAGTTCGAGCCCCGCGTCGGGCTCTGGGCTGATGGCTCGGAGCCTGGAGCCTGTTTCCGATTCTGTGTCTCCCTCTCTCTCTGCCCCTCCCCCGTTCATGCTCTGTCTCTCTCTGTCCCAAAAATAAATAAACGTTAAAAAAAAAAATTAAAAAAAAAAAAAGAATGCAATTCTGCCACTTGCAACAACATGGACGGACCTTGAGGGCATTAGGCTAAGTGAAATACATCAGACCAAGAAACGCAGATACTATAGGATCCCACTCATATGTGGGATCTAAAAAAAGCTGAACTCACAGAAGCAGAGAGTAGCCTGGGGCTTGCCGGGGACTAGGGGCTGGGGGGAAAGGGGAGAGTCTGGCCAAGGGCACAGACTTCCACTTCAAAGATAAATAGCCCTGGAGAGCTAATGCATGGCCTGGTGACCACATTAACAATGCTAGATTGTATATCTGAATAGATCTTAAGTGTTCCCACCACCCACCCCCCAACACACACACACACAAAGGTCGTTATGTGAGATGGCTAAAAAAAAAAAAAGAATAACCATTAGAATCTCTGCTTTATTACGTTAACCAGAACCATTTTCTAAACTCTGCTCTACACAGAAAGCTAGCAGTCGGTGAGGTGGTAAATAAACACCCACACTGATCCTGTCTTGTTCACGTAGAGGAGGCAACCGCCCTGTGATGGAGGCCACGGGTCCCCAGGTGCCCCCTCAGCACCCAGGCTGCAGGAGGCTGGCCACGAGCCCCACCTGAGGTCCTCTTTGAGAACTGCCCCTTCTTGAAGACAGTGCCAAGGCACCCAGGTTACGCTTTCCCCCTCGGGGACAGCCTCGTTGTGTGGGAGTCCAAGGGCCCAGTCCCCTGGCCTCAACGGAGGACAATTCAGAGGACCGCCCCAGCTGCAGAGTCCCGGTGAGACATACGAGGCCTTTGGTAGATTCCGTCTCTGTCCAGCTTGCTCCTCTGTTTCCCTTCCTCCCCTCACTGGGGCTGTTCCCCCGCCCCGCCCCCCCCCCCCCCCCCCGTTACCCTCCCCTCGACCCCCCCCACCGCGTGCTGTCTCCACCTCCCAGTCTGTCTCTCGGCAAAGGACCTTAGACAGCTACCCACCCACACCCACACCCACACCCAGCCCTGCCTTAAAGCAAAACTTGGTTCAAACATTTTAGAGTGACAGACAACAGGCACCCTTCAGCCCACAGCTTTCAATGAAAGGATGACTAACCACTTTCTATGTTCAGGTTAGGGTGTGTGTGTGTGTGTGTGTGTGTGTGTGTGTGTGTGTTTTAATCCATTCCAGAAGAACCAGAACAAACTGGGTGATGTCCTATATGTAATTGACTACGGGATTAGGTCAGCTTGGCTAATTAAGACTCACTCACTGCCATCTCCTGAGATGAAAGCTACCGTGGGGCTGGCATAGAAAACAATTAGCCCCTGCTAGAGTTCAAACAGCTTCTGTGCGCCCAGAGAGCCCACGTTCCTTTCTGGAGCCCTTAATTAGTGAGTCGACTGCTTTCCCCCATCCCTTATTCTTGTCATAACTTCTTTCACTGGTGGCCTCAATTGTCATTCTGCGCAATTCCCCAACTGACAGCACAAATGCAAATTTGGGGAGAATATCACAGGAAGAGGGCACACTGTGCCCGGGGACGTGAACATCTGTTTCTGTGGAGATGCCCCTTTTGCTCGGGAGCATATCACAGCCTAGCTAATGCGAGGAGCTGTGGTCTTGAAAGACACCAGCAAGAAACCCAGAGGCACTGAAAATCCTCACTAATATAAATGAGTGTGGCTCACATTCGGCAGGGGTAGGAAAACAGTGTGTTTTTAAATGAGAAGAACTGAAGCACTGTAGGTAAAATGAGAGGCCTCCCCTCACAGGTAGGGATGTGCACCACTCAGATCCTGGTGATGAATGCTAGAGGCTTGTAATCACCCGCCCCAGCAGCTCTTTTGAATTGACCTGGTTATTTGCAAACAAGGTTACACGGGCTGTCGCTTTCATTCGCACTATTGCCAAAAGAGATGCACGGCTTTCTAAGGGTGCCTTTTTTTCCTCTGTGCCTGGGGTCGTGATGTGAGGTTTCTCCAAAGCTGTAATGGAGAACAAAGAGAGAAGTTGGAAGGCTAGTTCAGCTGGAGATTTCTAGGGAGTCTGCAGACATCAGATCAGTCTCGAGGGGAACTAAGTCACGCCAGCCAAGGCCGTGGGAGACCGAGCTGTGAAGCAGACGCCTGATGGACAGCTAGGGAGTGAGAGTGAGGTGGGAGGAAGGAGAGACACATGTGTATGGACTGGAGCATTCAGAGGAAGCTGACACGTCCTCACCGAGCAAGTTAT